GATTTCCAGGCCTTTCCTCCAAGGTGCCCCTGAAGGACTTGAACTCCAACCTTTCAATTAACAGCAGAGCTTGTTAACTGCTTCCACTATTTAGGAATCTAACTTTAAAAGGGCAGTGTAGTGATTCTTTGAAATCCTGTTGGTAGGGTTTGAATGTTTTAGAGAAGGAATTTATTAAATGCTACCTGATGCCATCAATGCTGACTCACAGTGACCCCATGTGTTGGAGACTAGAACTGCTCCATAGGTTTCCTTGGCTGTCATCTTTATGGGAGCAGATCACCAGGCCTTTCTTCCATGGAACCACTAGGTGGGTTTCAACCAAATTTTAGGTGAGCAGCCAACTGCAAACTGCTTGTGCTACCCAGGCTCCTAAACAATAACGTAAGGGCCTAAAGAATTATGTTAGCTTTCAAAATGTCTAGTAAACCTCTCCCTAGTAACTTATTTTTTGTAACATCCTTGCTTTAAGGAAGGAAGCTAGTGATGTTAGCCTCTCCAGAAGTTGAAATGGGGACTGTCAAACCTCTCATCTCTTTCTGTGCTGTTGACAGGATTACTTTTGTTATTAATACATGAAGATATGAGGCTGTTTGAAGTTTTGAAGCAAAACTTCAGATGCTTCAAAGTCTAGCCAAGTATATAATGAATATTTTACAGTGTTTCCTTTCATGACTTTCGGTTATATACATGGAAATCATCCTCATGTTTATGGTCTTCACTCTCAGTTGTAATTATTAGGGTTTCAGCTGGTGATAATTATAACCATAATTAATAATGAATCACCTTTTATGATACTTACTCAATCTGTAGCTGTCTTCCAAATTTCTTGGCATAAATGAGTGAGTGCTTCCAGCATTGGGAGCCTTGTTTTTTGCCAATGTCTTCAGTGCAGCTTGGACCTCTTCCTCCAGTACCATCAGTTCTGGATCATATGCTACTTTCTGAAATGGTTGAACGTTGACCAATTTTTTTTGGTACAGTGACACTGTATTCCTTCCATCTTTTTTTTTTCTTTTAAAAAAAATTTATTGTGATTTGGGTGAAAGTTTATGGAGCAAATTCATTTTCCATACAGTAGTTCATGCACATTTTGTTTCATGACATTGACTGTAATTCCCCAAAATGTAACAGCTCTCTTCCAACTTCCTCCCTGTAGTTACCTCTTCCCTGTGTCCTTGTTTTCTGTGCATTCCTGACCCACCCCCCACTCTGAGCTGTCTCCCTGTGCAAATACTGCCCTTCTGTTCTGCCACAACAGATGCTCTAAGGAGTGTTATCTACCTGATGTAAATGCTCACCCTATATGCCTGTCTATTGCTTGGCTAGAAGCCACAGGCTTCCATCTTCTTTTGATGCTTCTTGCACTGTTCAGTATTTTGCCCACTGAATCCTTCAATATTACAATTCGAGGCTTGATTTTTTTCTTTACTTCTTCCAGTTTGAGAAATGCCAATTGTGTTCTTCCTGTTTCATTGTCTAAGTAAAGGACTTAGCACATTTCATTATAACACTTTACTTTGTCTTCTTGAGCCACCCTTTGAAATCTTATGTTCAGCTCTTTTACGCATCACCAACTCTTCTATTCGCTACCTGGCTGAGCAACAGGAAGAGATCCATATTTGTGGCCATTTCAAAGAAAGATGATCCAACAGAATGCAGAAATTAGCAAACAGTATCATTAATATCACATATAGGTAAAATTTTGCTGAAAATAATTAAAAAACAATTATATAGACAGGGAACTGCCAGAAATTCAAGCTGAATTCAGAAGAGGATGTGGAAAGAAAGATATCATTGCTGGTGTCAGATGGATCTTGGCTGAAAGCAGAGAATACCAGAAACATATTTACCTGTGTTTTACTGACTATGCAAAGACATTCGACTATGTGGATCATAACAAATTATGAGTAAAATTGTGAAGAATGGGAATTCCAGAACATTTAATTGTACTCATGCAGAACCTATACATAGACCAAGAGACAGCTGTTCAAACAATGGGGGATACTGCATAGTTTAGAATAAGAAAAGGTGTGTGTCAGGGCTGTATGCTTCCACCATACTTACTCAATCTGTACACTTAGTAAATAATCTGAGAAGCTAGAGTATATGAAGAACAACATGGCAACAGGATTGGAGGAAGACTCATTAACAACCTGTGATATGCAGATGACACAAACTTGCTTGCTGTAAGCAAAGAGGACTTGAAGTACTTACTGATGAAGATCAAAGACTACAGCTTTCAGTATGGATTTACTTGGACATAAACAAAACAAAAATCCTCACAAATAGATAAATAAGCAATACCATAATAAATGAAGACCAAAGTTCTCAGGAAATTCTACTTGGATCTAGTCAATGCCCATGGAAGGAACAGTCAAGAAATAAAGGACATATTGCACTGGGCACATCTGCTGCAAAGGACCTTTTTAAAGTGTTAAGGAGCTAAGAAGTCACTTTGAAGAGTATGGTGTGCCTGACCCACACCATGGTACTTTTAATCACCTCATATGCATGTGAAGACTGGACAATGCATAAGGAAGACTGAAGAAGAATTGAGAACTTGAATTATGGTATTGGTGAAGAATACTGACTATATCATGGACTGCCAGAAGAAAGAACAAATCTGTCTTGGAAGTAGTATAGCCTGAATGCTCCTTATATGTGAGGATTTGTCTCTTGTACTTTGGTCATGTTATCAGGAGGGAGCAGTCCCCGGAGGATGTCATGCTTGGTGAAGTAGAGGGTGGACTTGATGGTACCTAACAATAAGAACAATTCAATCTGTATTTTGAGCAAACAATCCAACAAACTGGACTATATGAAGAACACAGTATCATAATTGGAGGAAGACTCATTAACATCTTGTCATATACAGATGACACAAACTTGCTTGCTGAAAGCAAAGACTTGAAGCACTTACTGATGAAGATCAAAGAAGACCAAGATCAGTCTTTGGAGAAGGATATCATGCTTGGTGATACCCTGCCCCCTAAGAATCAGCAAAAAAGAGGAAGATCTTTAGTGAGATGGATTGACACAGTACCTGCAACACTGGGCTCAAATATAGCAGTGACTGTGTGGAAGGCACAGGACTTGCCAGTGTTTCATTCCGTTTTGCATGGGGTTAGTGAGTCAGAACAGACTTGGTGCTGCCTCACAACAACCATGTCCTTTTCCCCTAGTCGATATTTAGAAATATGTGAGAAGATGCCAGAGCTAGAAAGAAGTCAAAATATCAGCTTTATTACTGATAACATTTCTTGGAAAAGAGGGCTTTCCTGGGATCATTTATGATTAGGTTCAGTGTGAGTGCTAGAAAAGTCAAAATAACAGTGGCAAAAGGGAGAGCCTATTTCTTAGCAATATCACTTGAAAGTCCAGAGTGGGGAATTCAGGACTGGAAGATTGTTCCACTGTATCAGGCACCCAGACTTCTTTCTATGCTTTGTTGTATGTGGCTTCCTTTCCCAGGGTCATCTTGTGGTTTGGGATAACTGCTTTGGCTTTACCCATCATGTGTACATTCTAGCCAACAGCAAGAAACAGAGAGAGAGGGACAAGATATTTTCATTTAAAAGACACATCATTTTTTTTTTTAAAAGTTTTTATTGTGATTTGAGCAAATTTTTTTTTTTTATTGTGATTTGGGTGAAAGTTTACAGAACAAATTCACTTTCCAGACAGCAGCTCACATACACTTTGTTTCATGACATTGACTACAATTTACCACAATGCAACAGCTCCTCTCTCTCTTTCTCCCCATAGATACCTACCTCTTCCCTGTGTCCTTCCCTCCATAGACTCCTGCCCCCTGAGCTATGTCCCTGTGCATACACAGCCCTTCTATTCTCCCATCATTGTTCTCTCCAGCGAGTTTATCTACCTAATGTAAATGCTCAGGTCATATGCCTGTCTTTTGTTTGGCTGGAAGCCATAGGAGTGGGTTCAATTCCAGACCTGAAAGGTTGCTAGGGGCCAGTCTCAGTGGTTCCATCAGGCTCCATTAGACCAGCAAACCTGGTCTTTTTTTTTTTTTTTTAAATGATTTTGAGTTTTTTTCCCACATTGTTCTCCCACTCTATCCATGATCTCCTACATAGATCCCCCTCAGAGTGGTTGACAGTGGTAGCCAGGCACCATCTAGTTCTTCTGGTCTCACAGTCGTATAGGCTGAGGATTGCATGGTGTACCCGTCCCTTGGACTAATTGTTTCCATGATTCTTTGGTTTTCTTTATTCTTCTTTGCTCTGGACTAGGAGAGACCCATTATTGCATCTAGATGGCTGCTTGAAGGATTTTAAGATCCCAGTAACTACTTGCCAAAGTAGGATGTGGAACAATGTTTTGAGTAGTATGTTATGCCAATTGAGCTTGATGTCCCCTGTGATGACGATCCCGAGCCCACAGGTCTAACTACTCACGCCCTTGGGGTAGCTGGCTGTGCCCAAGAAGTGACTACAACCATGTCCCTTGTCAGCTCTACTATATACCTGGGAATTCTTATAGAACATACCAATACACTTGTAGAAACATTGTCTGCCAACCCTATGTATGGTCTTGGCACACTTCCCCCTGCATAGACATACCTAATAGTTCAGCTTACCCACCTATCTACCCACCCATATACTCATGTTTGCCTTTACTGGCAATGCAGTACTGTATGTGCAAAAGGGTTCATCTTTGTTGTTTGTACCTCCCATGCACCTCTCTATGTCTTCTTCTTCCTCAATGCCACTGTGTTGATCACTCACATTTGGTACATTACCCCTTCTCTTCACTAAAGACACACCATTTTTGTTTATACCCATTAGCTTGAACACAATCACTTAGCCACATCTAACCATGTAAATAAGTACTTTGGGCAGTCATATATCCAGCTAAAAACTGAGAACTATTTTAAAAGGGGAGAAAGAACACTTATGGACAACTTGTATGTTCTGCTGTACTTAAAGTTAGGCAGCTCGGCAGAGACAGAACTAGATAACCACTGGCCTCCCCTAAAGGGACAAGGCCAGCAAATTGCTGGCCACAGAGCAGAGATTGACCTCGAGGATAAGTTCCTTATAAGAGGGGGAACCCAGAAGGTGCTGAGCCATATACCTTTGGTTCCTTCTTATTCTCATCCACTGAGGAAGGCCAGATGTGTGCCTCCTATACTTATCTCTCCTGATTGCTATTTGGCTTTTCTAAGGGGCAGTACAGTGAACTATCATAAGGCAGAAAAGCAGTACATGATTTGGCACCACAGTAACAAGGTTTTCTTGGTTTTCCTGTATCTAGCATGTCTCCATCTTCACTGTCCATTAGATTAAGAAATCTGCCAGAATAGTCGTAAGAGAGTTCTTCTTCTGGCAAAATGTCTTTGGCTGCAAAAAGTGCCAACTTAGGTACCATGGAGTCAATTCGGACAGGAATCATCAACAGGTTTGGTTCACAAGAATGGTTAAGGTATCTTCCAATATTTCCTATGCAGGTAGGATCAACAAATGTTTCCATTACCTGTCCATTATAAACATGTTCCCTGAGCGCTATAATATAATTTGAATCATGTACTGTTTGTAATTGAATTCTTCTCTGCACTTCAGAGAACCCTAAAACCTCACCAGCATATTCACAGACAAATTTTCCTTTTGGTATAAATTCCAAGGTACGAAGTCCCCAGCCTTTTTTATCTGTCTTGAACACTTGAAGGTGGAACTGCAGACCCCTCTGGACCACTCTGTTTTTGCAGTGGTCACTGCACTGGCACATGGTATTGCATTCAAAAACTGGCTGGGCATACGTTCCTTTTGATCCTGTATCTCTCAGGCATGAATTATCATCATAGTTCTCCTCATGACGGAGACAGGAGCAAGTACCAGGGAGGCAAGGAGTTTTGAGACAAATGCATCCGGGAAAGGTTATTTGAGTGGGATCAACGTCTGCTCCAGGTCCAGTGACGTGATCGGGAGTATACTGCAATAAATATAAATAATGTAAATCAGCATGGCGTGTCATATATTTCCGATATGTATATGCTTCAAGCAGTTTTTAGCTGAGAGACTTTCTAATTCTAACATGTATAAAAACAAAGAAAACTGATGAAACACAATATTTTAAGATATTATCTGAAAAGATACCTTCACAATGTAAAAAATAAGATTAACTTTTTACATTTAAAATTTTTTGGTCTTATTTTAGTTGTAGGGAGAACAATAGGATTTTTTTTTTTCCCTCTTATCAGAAACTGAAAGCATTTAAACCCAGTATATGTCTCCTTCTTAGTTTTGGTGTCAGGAAAATCATGGCTGAATTCAGTGTTTGATTGCAGTCAAATGTTTTATCCTTGTCTTTTAATCTCAAAATTTTATCTTTTTTTGGATAACGTTGCTGTTGTTAGGTGCCATCAAGTTGGTTCTGACTCACAGTGACCCTATATATAACAGAGCGAAACACTGCCCAGCCCTGCGATATCCTCACAATCGTTGCCACACTTACGTCCATTGTTGCAGCTACTTGTCCTTCTATCTCTTTGAGTACCTTCCTCTTTTTTTTGCTGATCTTTACTTTAACATGCATTACATCACTCTCCAGGGACTGGTTCCTTCTGATAACATAACCAACGTATGTGAGACAAAGTCTCACCATCCTTGCTTCTAAGGAGCACTCTGTCTACTTCTAAGACAGATTTGTTAGTTCTTCTGGCAGTCCATGGCATATTCAATATTCTTCACTGACACTATTATTCAAAGTTATCAAATCTTCTTCAGTTTCCCTTATTCAACATGCTGCTTTTTCATATGCATATGAGATGACTGAAAATACCAAAGCTTGGGTCAGTGCAAATTAGTCCTCAAAGTGACATCTTTGCTATTTAATACTCTGAAGAGGTCTTTTGCAGTGATTTGCCCAGGGCAATATGTCACTTAATTTCTTGACTATTGCTTCTATAGGTGTAGATTGTATATCAATTAACACCTATGGTTGTAATGAAATTCTAGATAATTTCAATACTTTCTCCATTTATCATGATGTTGCCTATTGGTCCAGTTGTTAGGATTTTTGTTTTCTTTATGTTGAGGTGAAGAAAGACTGGGCAATCTACTTCTGTAAAGATGTACTGCTTTGGAAACCCAAAGGGGGTCACTGTGAGTTGGAACTGACTTGATGGCAGTGAGTTTGGTTTTATGTTGAAGTATAATCCAGACTGAAAGTTGTAGTCTTTGATCTTCATCAGTAAGTGCTTTGAGTCTTCTTCACTTTCAGCAAGCAAGTTTGTGTCATCGGCATATGACAGGTTGTTAATGAGTCTTCCTCTAATCTTGATGCCGTATTATTCTTCTATATAGTCCAGCTTCTCAGATTATTTTCTCAGCACACAAATTCATATGGTGAAAGGATACAACCATGATGCCCACCCTTCCTGATTTTAAAACATGCAGTATCCCCTTGTTCTGTTCGAACGACTGCTTCCTGGTCTGTGTACAGGTTCTGCATGAACACAATTAAGTGTTCTGGAATTCCCATTCTTTGCAATGTTACCCATAATTTATTATGATCCACACAGTTGGATGTCTTTGCATAATCAGTGAAACACAAGTAAACATCTTTCTGGTATTCTCTGCTTTCAGCCAAGTTCCATCTGACAACAGCAATGATATTCCTCATTCCAAGTCCTCTTCTGAATCCAACTTAAATTTCTAGATGTTCCCTGTCTATGTATTTCTATAACCATTTCTGAATGATCTTCAGCAAAATTTTACTGGTGTGTGATATTAATAATACTATCTGATAATTTCTGCATTCTGTTGGATCACCTTTCTTTGGAATGGGTACAAACATAAATTTATTCCAGTTGGTTGGTGTTTCGGATACCTAGTGCCACTCTGAGAAGAATATACCACAAACGGGATGCTTGAACAAACAGGAGTTTATTCTCTTACAGTTTGGAGGCTTTAAGTCCAAGTTCAAAGTGCCAGGCTCTAGGGGCTGTGTGAAAGCCCCTCAACCTTGGGCTTCAGCTCTACCTCTGGCTCCCAGGCCACTGAAGCTAGAGGCATCTCTTCACTCTGGCAGCTACTGGCTGCTGAGGCTAACAAGCCCAAAGTTGACAAATAAAATGGCATAGTCCCCATGTTACCAAACCACACAGCAGACCATTAATTCATGTCCATTGAAAGTCCCAAGGTCAGCAAAGCATGGCAGGCTGCTGGACAATGACACGGCTGCATGCAGGGTTCAAGCGTGCCATAAGCTAGAGACTATTCCCAAAGCTGTTTCTTATATACGGGAAGCAGACCACATCCCTAAGGCAGCTATTTAGCTGCTCCAGTACATTCCACCATGGAGTTAATTATCATTATCACCATGGAGAATAACTACATTCAGCTGCCCAGCCACTCAACTAGGCCCAGTCAAGCCGACACACAAACATAACTACCACAGTTGGCCAGATACCTATCTTTCAAATTTTTTGGCACAGACGAGTAAGCACTGCCAGCATTGCATTGCTTTACTGAAACATCTCAATTGGCATTCCATTAATTCTTGCAGTGTTGCTTTTCACCAATGCCTTTAGTGCAGCTTGGACTTCTTCCTTCAATACCATCACCTCTTGATCATATGCTACCTCTTGAAATGACTGAATTTCAACCAATTCTTTTTGGTATAGTGACTCTTTGTATTCCTTCTATCTTCTTTTGATGCTTCCTGTATTGTTCAATATTTTGCCACAGAATCCTTCAATATTGTAACTCAATAATACATATGTATTTATTATAAGTTACCTCACCTCCTTTTTGAGGGTAAGAAAGGCATGGATGATAAATAAACCAATGAAAGAGGGCCTCTTGGGAAAGTCTTCCACTGATTTTCTTCTTAAAGTTTTTTTTTTTTTTTTAATTTGAAGGTTATCTAAATTCTTAAGCATTCTGTTTTAAAAAGATAATATTATTTTATATTTCCATTTGAATCTTCACAATATTAAAACCAATTATTTTGCTAAAAATTGAAGACAGAATTCTAAGAATGGTATTTGTTAGTAGATTTTTATTGTTGCCTTTAATGTAAAGAAATTCTGTTTTTATTAAATGATAAAGGGATAATATAAAAATTTTCTCCAATCTTTGCAGGTACTTATGTAACATTTATACAATGTTATAGAAATAGAAGACATTCTAAAATGGTTAATGTGTATGTGAAGCCAAATCCCTGGTTATCTCCTCATTGGCATATTAAAGCTCATTTTTAATCTGAAGATTAAAGTATTCACGAGCTTAGCATTTCTTTATGCACAGAAGAATTCTTGCTTATGTGGAACTTAATTTGTTCAATTTATACTTGCCTTGTTAAAAAAATGCATTTAATGTGGCTTACAAAGCGGTAAGATAAATGAGTAATTGGTGTTATTGTTAGGAGCCATCAAGTCAGCTCTGACTCACAGTAACCCAACGCACAACAGAGAGAAACACTGCCCGGTCCTGCGCCATCCTCACAATCCTTGCTACGCTTGAGCCCACTGTTACAGCCACTGTGTCAATGAGTAATACCCACTGCCATTGAGTCAATTTCAACTCATAGTGATTCTGTTGGGTTTCTAAGGCTGTAAATTTTTATGGAAGTAGATTGCCTCATTCATCTTCCTCCCACAGAGTGGTTGGTAGGTTTGAATCACTGACTTTCTTGTTAGCAGCCAAATATCTTACCCACTATGCCACCAGAGCTCCTTCAATGAATAATCCAAAAAAACAAAAACAAAAAAAACCTCACTGCCATCGGGTTGGATCCAACTCATAGTGACCCCTCCTTAGGTTTCCGAGGTGGTATCAGTACAGAAGTAGATTGCCCAATCTGAGTCATAAGGAGCTCAAACCAATAAAGGAGGATGTTTAGCTCAGTGTGAGGGAAGCCAGCCACTTCAAAGAGGAAATTGAATTAGATGTGTAATTCACATCCTCCTTAAGGAATGGTATCACAGTACAGAAGCACTGAGTCTTTCCAATACACACATTGGAGAGAAATTCTATCAACGTGTCCTAAACCATTCTTTTCCAGGAAGTAGTTTCATGGGCTCTTTTTAATTCTGACCCTTGATAAAGGCTGTTGGCATGCCTTCACAGCACAGTTCGGTAAGTGCCTTTCTGCAAGGGACCTGTTGTTTGGTCTTTAATTTAAGAATAGGTTTTAGAGTATCTGGAGGACTGTTCGAACATATCTTTCAGCCAATCCTCCATTAATATTATTGCTCCCAGCCCAGCTTTAGGAAGGTATTGAGCAGCATGTGGCTCTACTTCCTGTGGAGGACTCTGTGGAGCTATGCAGTTAAGTGCAAAGCCCTATACTTTAAAAAACAGTGAGCTGGGGGCTTGTGGGGAGGGGAAGAGTGACATCCTTTTGTGAAAAATGAGGAGTGCGAGTGGGAGTCCCTGTGGGGGAAGGCCAACATTCTGTTTAAAAAGTGATTTGGGGGTGGAGAGTAGAAATAGCTTCTTTTGCTTGTGTCTTTTCTTACAGCTTTAGCTCAGCAGAAACGTCCTAAAGGGATAAAGGATGGCTCAGGAAGAGGTGCCCTATCAATCAAATGCAATGGCTGCTATCTTATACCTGGGCTACTTCTGGCTTTTAAATGATTCACATTTGGCACGTAAATGGTTACTGAGACATTTTAAGAAGTACTTGAAAACTAAGGACTTTACTATCTCTTTGTTAAACTTTCATGAAGAATTTTAAAGACTGATTTGCTCTTCAAGGCTCACATATTTTAAAAGCATTATATAAATTACTAAATTCTAAAGTGATTTTTTTGACATAGATAACTCCTTTTAAAATCAAGTCTGAATGATTTTAACCATGAGAACATATTATTCCTTTTTGAACTGATTTGCTTATGGATAACCAAACCAAACCCAGTGCCATAGAGCTGTTTCTGACTCTTAGGGACCCTATAGGACAGAGTAGAACTGCCCAAGAAGGTCCAA